TTCCTGAGCTCTCCTGCTCCTTTTCCTTGCCCTGGTCTCTGTGCCCTGCAGGAGAGCGGGATGAGGAGGACAGCAGCTTCCTGAACCTCTTCCACCTGATGAATGCACAGGCCAACTTCCACAAGGAAATTCTCTACATGGCCATGGGCAACAACAGCAGCACCCCCTGAGTTCCACCACAGCGCCCTCCTCTGCTCCTGCTGGATTTTCTTTCTTTTCTTGGAACGTTTGCAAAGAAATCTCCGATTATTTCTCAAATTCCCATCCCAGCAAGAGCTGGGGTGGCAGAAGCTGAGCTCAGCCGTGTCAGGCCAGCTGAGTGAGCTCATGGAGGGCTTGGGGAGTGAATTCCATTCCTTGTACTCTGCTCCTCCAGGGAAAAGGGCTGGGGCCTCTCCTTTGGGAACTCCAGCTGCATTCTTTTCCCACTGTGCATGTTTGCACACACCATTAGAGTGACATGGTTTCCACAGTTGATGTGCAGACACCAACTGAAGCTCGTGTTATCTTAGCCCAGAACCCAAAACATTCTGAGCTCTTAAGTTTGTTTTCTCTTGGGAATTGGAGGAGAGAGGGAGGGCTGGGATTTGAGGAGCTGCATTTTTTTCCAGCTTGCCAAAGTCTCTAACCCAGGCTCTGTGACTGAAATGCTCCATAGTTTGTACATTCAGCTTTTAGGGAAAGGTGATTTCTGAAAGCAATTCCAGTGCTTTGATCAAGCAAGGCATTTTTTTCCTCTCAATCTCCAGGTTTTTACAAAGCAAAAGAAACTTCAAATCTCTCCCCCTGCCCCAGGTTGAAGTGTTTTAGGATTTAGCCAAGTTGAAGGCACCCATTAAACACATTCAATTAGAACACTGGTTCATTAAACAAATAAATGTTTGCTGCTCAGAGAAGGGTTTGATTTTCTGCTCTGTTGCTTTCCAAACCCCTGTGATGGCAGGAAAAGGCACTCACACTTTCTGTGCTGTTTGCAACCTCCAGCTTCCTGAGGAGCCACTTTCCCCACCCAAATAATTCCCTTTCCAAACCTCTGAGCCTTCCTCCAGCTCCAGCTTTTCCCACATTTAGCTCGGGAAGCGAGGGAAGGATTTATCTCAGCTGCCCCCACCTGCTCCCATCGGGAGCAGCTCGGGAATTGCTCTGAAGTTTTTGGCTGCTCACAATCCTGGTGGCGTTTGTGGAATGCACAATTCCAGGCAGGAATTCCAGGCTCCGGGACATCCCTTGGCGGTGGGTCCGTGCAGGTGCCGGCAGATGGCAGAGCTGAAACCTTCCCTGGGTTTTTCCCTGCTGGAAATCACCAGGAACATCCCTTTTTTTATTTCCCTGGCTGCTCGAAGGTGATGTTTTAAAGGCTCTGCAACGCCGTGCGTGATTCCTGAAGGGAGAGAAATTCCAGGCTCTGCTTTCCACTCAGGACTGATCCCCAAGGAACCCGAAATTTGAGCAGAAAACACCCTCGGATGTGAGAACAGCACCGGGAAAACGCCGCCAGGAATCTGCAGCCCAATGTGTCCCTTTTGTCCTCGGGAATCGCTCCCGAGCAATAATCCCGAGCAGGGAGCAGAGCCCGGCCCTTTGTGTGTCCCTGTCCCGCCGTGTCCCGGCTCCTTCCCGGCCCCAGAGATTCCAGCCCGGCACAAGGGGAGCCTTTATGGGAGCTCAGCCACGGGAAAAGGGAACTCTTTGATTCCCCGGAGCAGCCGGCGGGGCTGGAATGTCAGCACGGCGGCTGCTCGTGAATTATTGACGGCTTTATTAAATTGTCATGGACTGCTCCGGCTCCGGCTCTCCCAGGAAGCGCTTGGAAGGGACATTAAATCCCATCCAGTGCCACCCCTGCCACCGAACACCTCCCACTAGCCCAGGTGCTCCGTCCAACCTGGCCTGGGACACTTCAGGGATCCAGGGACATCCCTGCTGGCAGTTTGTGCCACATTTCCATCGAACAGGACTTTCCTTCCCAATCTCTCCCCTGCCCAGTTTGGGGTGAACTGGGAAATGGCACCAGCCCTGTCCCCTCCTTTTCCAGCTCCCCTTGGATCAGCTCAAACACATCCAGGTCCAGAAGAGCTGGGAAGGGGGTACTTGAGAAAAGAGAGATGTTCCTTTTTTAAATCCTTTTCCTTTTTTTTTTTTTCCTTTTTCCTTTGCCAAATGTTAACTGCTGCAGTGGAGGGTGGGTAAAAGCCAGCTCCAGGAGCAAATGTCACCAAGCTAGAAGGGCAGAGCTGGATCCTGGCTGCAGCCCGAGCTGTGGAGGGGCTGTCCCCGCCCTGGTCCCCTTTTCCCACCCCTCCACCCCTCCCAGCCCGGGTTTGGGCCCTGCAGTTTTGGGTTTCAGCTCTGTGAGGTCTGCGAGTCAGAGGAAAGGATCGTTCCTGCTTTCACACTCGGCCGAGTTTCCATTCCACACATTCCTCCTCCCTCCCCTCACGGCTGCAGATGTGGCTCCACACACGGCCTGAAGGAGGGGAGGTTACTGAGAGCAGCGTTGGTGTCTGCAGGAATTCTCCAGGAATGGTTCAGCTCCAGATTCCCGTTACTGGGAACTGCAGGAATTATTCCAGGAATGTTTCAGAGGGCTCCTGATTCCCGTTACTGAGAGCAGGATTTGTGCCTGCAGAAATTCCTCCAGGAATGGTTCAGTGGGCTCCTGATTTCCATTACTGAGAATATGATTTGTGTCTGCAGGAATTCTTCCAGGAATGATTCAGGCTCCTGATTCCCATTACAGAGAACAGGACTTGAACCTGCAGGAATTCTCCAGGAATGGTTCAGGCTCCAGATTCCCATTACAGAGAACATGATTTGTGTCTGCAGGAATTCTCCAGGAATGTTTCAGGTCCCGATTCCCATTATTGAGAACTGCAGGAATTCCTTCAGGAACGTTTCAGGCTCCTCATTCCCATTACAGAGAACTGCAGGAATTCTCCAGGAATGTTTCAGGTCCCGATTCCCATTACAGAGAACTGCAGGAATTCTCCAGGAATGTTTCAGGTCCCGATTCCCGGCTCTCTTTGTGCCGGGGTGAGGGAGCAGCATTTCCTCACCTCCGGGGCTCGGTGGGAGGGATCACCCCGGGCGGTTCCAGGAATGCGCTCGGGGTGAAATCCCCAGCTTGGAATTTCTCTGGGGAGTTTTCCTGGCCGGAAATTTCAGTGTCGAGCGTTCAGCTGGCAGCACTGACCACATCCAGCATTCCCAGGCTCTGAAATCCCTTTTTTTTTTCCCCTGTGAACCCTGAAAGTCACACCAGCCCATTCCAGCATTTCCGGGCCCCTGCTCTCCCTGGATCCTGTTCTCTCACGAGTTTTTGTGGTGTTTCCATGGATAACTGAAGGGGCACAAAGGTTTCCCCATTCTGGGTATTCCAGGTGTTTATTGCTCAGAAAAATATAAAACCCTGGGGGACACCAGGAATGTGAAAATTTTGTCTTTTAGGAGGGTGAAATTTCCATTCATTGCCCGTGAGTGGTGGTGGGAGGGCAGGGATTGATGCAGAGGACAAGAAAAATCCTCCTGATGCCCCGAACACCTCCCCAGGCATCTCCAAGCGAGGAGGAAATGAAATTCTGAAATGTTCTTTCCATCCCCCAGGAATTTCCATGGTGTTAAAAACGTTCCCTTTCCCATCCAAGGCTTCCCCAAACACCCGAGAGGGACCCGAGGGAGGGGTGGGGACACTCGGGGGGGACAGCCTGGGGTCCCCACCGTGCCCAGAGCAGGGACCCCTCCCCTGGGGGACGACACAGAGGTGCCTCAGCCTGGATTTTCCATCTCTCAGCATTCCCGGGATCCCTCTGCGCTCCCAGTTTGTCCCCCCTGCCCATCCCTGCAGTGACACCAGCAGCCATTTTCCCTCTCCCGTGTCATTGCTCTTTATTCCACTCCCCGAACGCTGCTCATCAGAAATAGAAGCGATTTCCTCAAATTTTAAGCCCGGATGAGCGGCCTCGGACGCGCTCATGCCGAGGGGACCACGACACAGAAATGGGGGGGACGGGACCCCCCGCGTCCCCCTGGGGACACCGCGGGCGTCACCGGGAGCATCCCAGGAGAAGGAAAAACACGGGTCCTGGCAGGGGAAGGACACGGGTCCTGGCAGGGAGATTAGCCAGGTCCTGGCAGGTGGATTAGCCGGGTCCTGGCAGGTGGATTAGCCAGGTCCTGGCAGGGGGATTAGCCGGGTCCTGGCAGCCCCTCGGAGCCCCTCCCGTGTCCCCCCATTCCGTCCGCGGCCCCGCCGGCTCCGTGAGCGCTCCGTGCTCCGCTCCGGGCTCGCAGAGGTTAACGCTGCTCCAGGAGGCTCCGGGGGACTCGAACCGGGCGGAGGCTGCGGGAGAGAAAGAGAAAAGAGAGAAAAGAGAGAAAAGAGAGAAAAGAGAGAAAAGAGAGAAAAGAGAGAAAAGAGAGGCCGGTGTGAGCCGGGCCCGGAGCTGCGGGAGCAGCGGGGATGGAGCAGCGGGGATGGACAGAGGGGATGGAGCAGCTCCATGCGGGAGAAGCGGGGATGGAGAAGCGGGGATGGAGCAGCTCCGTGCGGGGAGGAGCAGAGGGGATGGACAGAGGGGATGGAGCAGCTCCATGCGGGAGAAGTGGGGATGGAGCAGCTCCGTGCGGGGATGGAGCAGCTCCGGTTTCTCCCGGAGCTTCTCCGTTTCTCCCCTCTCAGGAACAAAAGCCGGCGGCCCGAGCTGCAGAGAGCGGCTTTTCCAGGCGGGTAAATCCCGCAGGGAGAGCCCGGCAGCTGCGCAGTGGCTGAGCGGCCTGGATTGTAAAATCAGCCCCGGTGCCCCCCTTGGAGCACCGACCCCAAAACCGCCCCCTGCCCCCCCTCCCGGCACGTTCCTCCCCCGTAACTCACACCTGGCGGGGCCAGGAGCTCACCTGGCCGCCCCTCGCCTGCTGCGGGGCCGCATCTCCCGCGGCGGCTCCTTCAGAGCATGTAAATGATGTAGGACAGGATCACCAGGCCGATGATGGCGAAAAACATCAGGATGAAAATGTCCAGCATGGCGAGGGAGGGAGGGAGGAGGAGGAGACGGGGGGGGAAGGGACTCCCGGCAGGAATGCAGGGATGCAGGGATTCAGAGATGGAGGGATTCAGGGATGCAGGGATGCAGGGATTCAGGGCTCCAGGCTTCCTGGCAGAGTTCCGGGCAGGGATTCAGGGCTCCGGGAATGGCTCCGGGGCTCCTGGCAGGGATTCAGGGCTCCGGGAAGGGCTCCGGGGCTCCTGGCAGGGATTCAGGGCTCCGGGAATGGCTCCGGGGCTCCTGGCAGGGATTCAGGGCTCCGGGAAGGGCTCCGGGGCTCCTGGCTGGGCAGAGGCGCCGCTGGTCCTGCCCAGTCCGGCCCAGGCTGCGGCGCTGCTGCCGGAGCCGCTCTCCAGCGGGGGATGAAGGCTCGCACAGCGGCTCAGCCCAGCGCTGGCGCCCGGGGCCGTCTCTCCCCGCTGGGGGGGTTTGTTCTACCCCTGCTCCTTCCTTCCCAAAGCGCTCCCCAATTCCAGGGGGTGCCCACGGGGATGTGACCCCCCCCCAGTCCGGAGCTGGGAACGCGCCCATCCTTTGGGGAAAGGAGGGAAAATGGGAAAATGAGCGAAAATCCACGCTGGGACCAGCCTGAATCACCTTCCCCTTCCCTGGCACCGCCGCTTTGTTTTTCTCGCTTTTTTTTTTTTTTTTTCGCTTTCACACCCGCAGGATTTTTTTTTAAAACACCGCTGAAAATCCCACCCAGCAACGCCTGAATTCCCAGGGCTCCACGGAATCCCCCGGGCTCCAAAACACAACCCTGGGCTTTGCCAAAGCGGGGGATGAGCCAAGGAGCTGCAGCCCAGGTGGATGAAAAGCCGAGCTCTGGAAACCTCCCCTCGTCCCAAACAAACAGGAAAAGCGGCTGCAATCAAAGCCAGCACAATCAGCAGGTAAAAATTAAACTTTTATTTTCAATCCGAGTCAACCGGGAAGAGAATCGGTCGGGTTGTTCCATTCCGCGGGTTTTCATTTTTTTGGGGAAAAAAAAAAAAAAAAAAAAAAAAAAAAAAAAAAAATTTTTTTTTTTTTTTTTTTTTTAACTGGTGGGTGCTCAACCCAGGAAGGAGGACACAAGGACAAAACCCCAATCAAGCGACGGATCCCAAGGAAAACACGTTCTAAGCTCAGCACTGAGACCAGGGAAGCTGGGGTGGACGAGGTCTATTTTACACGTGATGAGAAGCAATCATTCAGCTTTTTAATCGTTCTTCTTCCTTGTTTTTTTTTTTGGTTTTTTTTTTTTACTCTTTTATTTATTTCTTTATTTATTTTAAATACAGGTTTAGGTGCTTTTTCAGCTATGAAAAAAAAAAGGCAAAAAAGTGCATAAAGTTGAGAGAAAAGGCAGAAATCAAGCAGTAAGAGGTTTTGTTTTCCCATGGCGGGGGTGAAAGAGGCACGGGAGGGGAGAATTTAGGGACATCGGTTTCGAGGGAGGATTAAAAAAAGGTCTGGATCCCAAAAGGGAATTTCCTGTGTTATTTGGTCCATTAAAAAAGGGTTTATTCACATTGATGCTCCCCCCTCCATTTCCCAGACAAGAACGTGATTAAGAAGAGGATTTACAGCAGGGAGAGGTGGCTCCCCCTGCCCTTGTGCTCCCTGTTTTAGCACCAGCCGGGATTCCCAGCCCGGACAGCCCCTCCTGGCTGCTCCTGTGTCACCCTGAATCCCGAAATTCCTGTCACCCTACAGCTGGGATTCCCATCCTGGGTGTTCTGGTGTCACCCTGAATCCCCAAATCCCTGTCCCTGATCCCACTACAGCCGAGATTCCCACCCTGGTCAGCCCCTCCTGGGTGTTCCTGCTCTGGTGTCACCCTGAATCCCTGTCCCAAATCCCACTGCAGCCGAGATTCCCATCCTGGACGTTCTGCTCCGGTGTCACCCTCAATTCCTGTCCTTGATCCCACTTAAGTTGGGATTCCCATCCTGGACAGCCCCTCCTGGCTGCTCCTGTGTCACCCTGAATCCCTAAATCCTTGTCCCTGTCACCCTGCAGCCAAGATTCCCATCCTGGCTGTTCTGGTTGTCACCCTGAATCCCTAAATCCCTGTCCCTGTCACCCTACAGAGCTGGGATTCCCACCCTGGACAGCCCCTGGGTTTTCCTGCTCTGGTGTCACCCTAAATCCCTGTCCCTGATCCCACTGAAGTTGGGATTCCCACCCTGGACAGCCCCTCCTGGCTGTTCTGGTGTCAATCCCTGATCCCACTGCAGCCGGGATTCCCTTTTCCCTGTCCCCCATCCCAGCCCCCCGGGGAAGGGAGGTGTCCCCAAGGACGTGTCCCCAACAGGACCAAGGAATGTCTCACTCGGCCCCTTTGGTCCCTTATTCCCGTTTTTCCTGGGGGATCTGCCGGCCCCACACGGGGACATTCCCGCTGTCCCCAGCTCCTGCTCCTCCCTCCCTGCTCATTTCCAGTTTCACCCGACCCTGCCCCGGAGCAGGAGGGGACAGGGATGGGCTTTGATGTTTTGGTCCATGACACCATCCCAAAATGGTCCCAAAATGGTCCCAAAAAGGTCCCAAAATGCTGCCACCAGCTGAGAATGAGAGATGCAGGGTGGCTCGGGTGCCACATCAGCCAGGGGACAGCCGGGGACAATCAGCCAGGGGGACAGACAATCAACCAGGGGACAATCAGCCAGGGGGACAGTCAATCAGCCAGGATTGGTTGAGGTGGCACCACCAAAGTGGTGGCAGCTCTCAGCAGCAGCAGCAGGAGAAAAGCAGGAAAATTCTGGGTGGGAGGAAAAGATTCCCCAGGAGACTCAGAGGGAGCTGGAGCTGCAGGGGGCTCATCCCAATCCAGGGTAATCCCAATCCAGGGGGCTCATCCCAATCCAGGGTAATCCCAGTTCCAGGGGTTTATCCCAATTCCAGGGATTTATCCCAATTTCAGGGGGATCTTCTCAGTTCCAGGGGGTTCATCCCAATCCAGGGGGCTCATCCCAGCCCAACCCTCCAGCCAGAGCAGCCCCAGGGCTGCTCCTTCTCCGGAGGGAACACCCAGAGCCTCCCCCAGAGCTCCCCGAGCTCAGAATGCCCAGGAGAGAGATTGTGTTGGGAGATTTTACCTGAACAAAGATTTTTTTTTTCCTGCTTTGAGGACTGAAGGGAGCAGAGGGGAGCTGGGAGCAGCCACGGGATGAGCCCGAGCTGGAGCTGAGAGGGAAAAGAGGAGCTGCAAACCCAGCCCTGAGCCCAGAGAACCCTCGGGATGAGCTCAAGGAGCTGCAAACCCATCCCTGATCCCAAAGAATCCTCGGGATGAGCCCAGGGCACCCTCGGGATGAGCCCCCCTCACCTCTCCCACCCCACAGCGGGAATTTGGTCCTGACGTGGCCTCTCCTCCTCCTCCTCCTCCTCCTCCCTCTCCCTCCCTTTTCTGGGATTTCTGGAAGTTTCCCCCAGGAGGGACAGGAGCAGCAAAGCCCCGGGGCTTTGACCCGCACGGGGCCACCACGGAGCAAGAACTGGCGACAGAAACCGGACACAGAGGGGACAAAGGGGACAGGGGGAGGGGACAGGAGACGCCCAGAGGGGAGGGGACAGGCGGGCCGGGCGTGTCGCCGGGCTCAGATGGCCTCCACGTAGTTGGCCGGGAGCATGCCCGTGTCCCCCGTGCGCTCCACCGTGCCGTACATCCAGCCGTCATCGATCTGCTGCACGTTGATGATGGTGTCCCCGTCCTGGAACGACACCTCGTCCTCGTCCGCCGCGTTGTAATCATAGACAGCGCGGAAACGCTTCTGTGGGGACACGGGGACACCGTGACAGCCACGGGGACAGCCACGGGGACACCGGGACACTGTGACAGCCATGGGGACACCGGGACACCGTGACAGCCATGGGGACACCGGGACAGCCACGGGGACACCGGGACACTGTGACAGCCATGGGGACACCGTGACAGCCACGGGGACAGCCACGGGGACACCGGGACAGCCACGGGGACACCGGGACAGCCACGGGGACACCGGGACACTGTGACAGCCACGGGGACAGCCACGGGGACACCGTGACAGCCATGGGGACACCGGGACAGCCACGGGGACACTGTGACAGCCACGGGGACATGGGGACAACCACGGGGACAGCCACGGGGACACCGGGACACTGTGACAGCCACGGGGATACTGTGACAGCCACGAGGAACACGGGCACACGGTCACAGCCCTGGGGGACACTGTGACAGCCATGGGAGACACGGGGACAGCCATGGGGGACACGGGGACAGCCATGGGGGACACGGGGACAGCCATGGATATGGGGGCGTATAGGGACGTGGGGGGATATCATGGGGGACAGCCATGGGGACACTGTGACAGCCATGGGGACAATCATGGGGACACTGTGACAGCCATGGGGGACACGGGGACAATCATGGGGACACTGTGACAGCCATGGGGACACTGTGACAGCCATGGGGGCCGGGCTGTACTCACCCCTCCCCCCGGCGGGGCGCTGCGCTGGGCCGAGGCCGGAGCGGCCGGGTCCGGGTAAGAGAAGGATTGGGATGGAGGCGGCGGCTGGAAAACTGCGGGAAAGGATCCGTGAACCGGGGGGGAACGAGGGAACCCAGACCGGGAATGAGGGAACCTGGACTGGGATGGGAATGAGGGAACCCGGACCGGGAACGAGGGATCCTGGACTGGGAATGAGGGATCCTGGACTGGGAACGAGGGAACCCGGACCGGGAACGAGGGATCCAGAACTGGGATGGGAATGAGGGATCCAGGAACTGGGCTGTGGGTGATCTTGATCTGGGATTTGAGTGGATCCTGAACTGGGATGTGGAGGGAAAAGTGCATCCATTAATTGCAATGTGGGTGGTCCCGAACTGGGATGTGAATGATCCTAAACTGGGATTTGGGGGTGGATCCATGAACTGGGATTTGGATGATCCTAAACTGGGATCTGGATGGATCCATGAACTGGGATGTGGGTGGATGCATGGACTGGGATTTGAATTATCCTGAACTGGGATTTGTGGGTGGATCCATGAACTGGGATTTGAGTTATCCTGAACTGGGATTTGGTTGATTCTGAACTGGGATCTGGGTAGATCCACGAACTGGGATTTGAAATGACCCAGAAGAGGGATTTGGAAGCCCCAGGGCTGGCCCAGGCTCACCTGTGGCCCCGGGCTGGCCCAGCTGTTGCTGGGGCTGGGGCTCTGCTCTCCGGTAGCCGCTGCTCTCCTGGGAATTGCGGCGCTCGGGCTCCGAGCCCTCGCTGGGGCTGGGGCCCATCCGGCTCCTCTCGAACTCCTCGTGGTATTTGATCTGCAGGGCAGGGTGCGACAGCTCAGAGCCCGGCCCTGCAGCAGCTTCTCCCAGGGAAAAAGGGGCGGGATGAGGAAACGGCAGCGGGGAGGGGATTGGAAATGGGAGAATTCCTTCAGAAAAGGGAGGCGGGGCTGCCCAGTGGAGTCACCGTCCCTGAAAGGGTTAAAAGCCCACGTGGATGTGGCATTTGGGGATTTGGGCTGGTGCTGAGGGCAGTGCTGGCCTCGAGGCTTTTCCAGCCTGAAGGATTCCAGGATCCTTCCCCCCATCCCAGATCGGCTCTTTTTCCACCCCAGCAAATCCTGGGGGGCTCCTTCCCCATCCCAGAAAATCCCGGGGGCTCCTTCCCCATCCCAGAAAATCCTGGGGGGCTCCTCCCTCATCCCAGAAAATCCTGGGGGGCTCCTGCCCCATCCCAGGGCACGGGGACATGCTCAGAGCAGTTTGTGCCACACACAGGAGGAGCTTTTGGGGCCTTTGGGATGAGGAATTTTTTTTCAGGATGAGGAATTTTTTTTTCAGGATGAGATTCCTCCCAAACCACAGAGCAAAATCCCCTTTAGGAATTCTGGTGTGCAGCCCCCAGTGCCAGGGGGGCAGAGGGGACCCCAGGGCGGGCAGGAGGGAAGGGTTAACCCGACCACAGGGTTAAAAATTACTAATTAACCCCGTGCTGTTAATGAGTTGCCACGGGAAGCACCTGGAGCCTGGGAATGTCCCCTGGTTAAACAGTGACAGGCTGGAGGGAGCAGAGAGAGCAGGGACAGCAACCCCTGATGTGTGGGGACCCCCGGGAGGCTGGGATGGCCCTGGGGACAGGGACAAGGACAGGGACAGCCTTGGGAACAGCCCCGGGAACAGGGACAGACCCCGGGACAGATTCAGGGACAGGAACAGCCCCGGGAACAGCCCCCAGGATCAGGGACAGGAACAGCCCCAAGAAAGATTTGGGAACAGGGACAGGAGAAGGGACAGGGACAAGGACAGCCTCGGGAACAGCCCCAGGAGCAGGAACAGCCCCCAGGGACAGGGACAGGAGTCGGGGCAGCCCCTGGAGAGGTTTGGGAACAGGGACAGCCTCGGGAACAGCCCCAGGATCAGGAACAGGGACAAGGACAGCCCCAGGATCAGGAACAGCCCCTGGCACAGCCCC